CTACTCCATGGTCACTCCACACCCCACTTCCCCATGGACACCCCAAATCCTACTGTGTACCTCGCTACCTCACAGTCACCCCATACTCCACTTTCCCCACAGACACCCCAAGTCCCACTGTAAACCTCACTACCCCACAGTCACTCCACACTCCACCTCCCCATGGACACCCCAAGTCCCACTGTGCACCCCACTACCCCACGGCCACACTCTACTTCCCCCACAGACACCCCAAGTCCCACTGTGCACCCCACTCCTCTCCCCATGGCCACCCCATGCCCCACTCTCCTCATGGACCCCCCACCCCACAGTGCACTTCACTCACCCTGCAGCCACTCCACGCCCCGTTTCCCCCACGGCCACCGCAGACCCCACTGTGCACCCCACTCCCTCCTCAGTCACATACCAGGGCCCATGGTTACCCCCACCCGCCGTGGGGCTTGTCCCCTCCCTAGAGGTTCCTGCTTGTTAGGTGCCCCCAACCCCAGCCCGGCGCACCCCTGACCTGGGCACTGCTGCAGGAAGCAGTCTCGGGTCTCAACCCAGTGGCCCTGGCACTCGGCGCCCCCATAGGAAGGCCCGTTGCATTCACGCGTGCGCTGCTGTCGGCCCTGGGAACAGCTGGCGGAGCAGGCGCTCCAGCTCGACCACTCATTCCAGTTTCCATCCACTGCCCGGCCCGGGGGAGGAAGGGGACACGAAGTGGGCGTGAACACCTGGCACCCCAATGCCTGGCTTGGGATGTGGGTGTGAGCACCCTGGAGGCTACTGCTTCACATTCAGACTAGGACATAGGTGAGAACACCCTGGGGGCCACTACCCACACCCAGCCTGTGACATGGGTGAGAACACCCTGGAGGCCACCACCCCACACCCAGCCTGTGACATGGGTGAGAATGTCCAGGCTGGGACACGAGAGAGTAAACCCCGGGGGCCACCACCCCATACCCAGCCTGATATGGGTGTAAACACCTTGGGGGCCACCAGCCCACACCCAGACTGTGACATGGGTGTGAACACCCTGGGGGCCACCACCCACGCCCAGCCTGTGACATGGGTGAGAACACCCTGGGGGCCAGCAGCCCTCACCCAGCCTGGGACATGGGTGTGAACACCCTGCGGGCCAGCAGCCCTCACCCAGCCTGGGACACAGGTGTGAACACCCTGGGGGCCACCACCCCACACCCAGCCTGGGACATGGGTGGGAAATGCCCCAAGGTCACACGTCAGCCTGCTTCCTGAACCCAGTCTGAGGTTCCAACCTCTGAGCACCCTGAGGTGGGTCTGGAGTGGGCAAAGCTGGGTTCCCAGGCCTGGCCAGTGGCCTACTGTGACCTCTCCTTTCTTCCCTTCCTCCCTGCCCCCACACCCTCCCTCTCACCTACCAGGGCACAGGGCGATGTTGCAAAACTTGGTTTGCTTCTCAGGGCCCTCACAGGGGTTGCCTCCAAACTGGGGGGGCCTGCAGGTGCGCGTGCGATCCCGAAAGCCACGGCCACAGGTGCTGGAGCAGAGGCTCCAGGGTGACCACTCGTCCCAGGCACCATGCACTGCAGAGGGACGGAAGGTGCTGCTGCCCTCTGCTGCCACGGTCCCTGAAGCCCTGGCCACCCACTGCCCCAGCCCCCTGCTGCCCTGGCCCTCTGCTGCCCCAGCCCCCCACTGCCCCGGCTGCCCGCTGCCCCAGCCGCCCGCTGCCGAAGCCCAAGTTCCCACCCACCTGGGCACACGGCGGAGTTGTTGCACAGCCGCTGCTCGCGCAGGGGTCCGCTGCACTGCGTGCTGTAGGAGGAGGACACGCAGAAGCGCGTGCGGGTCTGCCAGCCCTCGCCGCAGGTGCTGGAGCACACGCTCCACGGGGACCACTCCTCGGCTGCTGGGTCACCTGCAGGCCCCACTACAGCGTCACAGGCCTGCCGCCCACGGGGCTGCAGTCAGACCGGGGCCAGATCCCGCAGCAGGAGGGCTGCCCTGCTGGGGAGCAGGCAGCAGGGCTGGGGCAGAGCCCCCGGGCCTTCGAACCAGGCTGATCTCAAGAACTGGTCATTTCCCCTACAAGGCTGGAAGCCCTGAGAGCCGGCCTGTGCCATCCCTGGGCCTCTGGGGTCTGGCCAGGGACAGGTCTCCTCACCTTACACCAGTTCCCCTAATGCCAATCAGTCAGGAGACAAGAACCCAGCACCTGACGGGTTAGTCTAGTTATTCAAGTTACTACCCATAACTAGTGGTGATTGTTAACTTACAGTATTTCCCAAAGCCCTAGTCCTGCCCACCCCCCTCCCGCCAGCTCACCGGTCTGGGGGGCTGGGAACCCAAACTGCTGCAGCTCGTCCCCCAGCTCCTCACGCCGCCGGGCATCTGTGGACCGCAGGGACTGGCTCCGGGAGCTGGTGCGCCCAGCGGCTGCAGGACGGGCTCAGGTCAGCACGGGAGCAGTGCTTTGTCCCCGTCCTCTCTCTCTGTGGCCACAGTGCTCTGAGCCCACCAGCACTGGGCCACCTGGCTCCACTGGGCAGTTGGGAAGCCAGGGACCAGAGCGCCCAGCCTGGCACCAGCCCTCATCTGGTCAACAGGGGACCCTTCCTGTGGGTCCTGTCTCCCGTACCCTGCGCCCACTCCCTCACTGCCTTCATTGCCCACAGGCCAGCATTCACCTGCAGGACGGCAGCCCGCACTAAGTGGTGGCTGCTTTCCCCTGCCTGGCACCCCAACAGCGCCCCTGCCTCCATCCCGCAGGCCAGCTGACACCCCAGGCCCCTCCCCAGGCTCCTGAGAGGAGCTCCTCTCCCCAGGAAAGTTCACCAAGGAAAAAACAGCCCAAAGACAGTCTCATTACAACGTGATTTAACTTCATGGAAGCAGCTAAAAAATGCTTGGGGTCATTAGAGAGCCTTATTAGAGAAATACCTTCTGGAGGCAGCATCCGGCTGGGGCAGGAGGGCTGGCTTGGCCAGAGCTCCCACAGCCAGCCTTCCGCACACCCTCCAAAACCCCCAATCCACAAACGGGAAGAAAGCCCCATCTAGGCCGGGTGCGGCGGCTCATGCCTGTAATCCCAGCACTTTGGGAGTCCGAGATGAGCGGATCACGAGGTCAGGAGATCGATACCATCTACTAAAAATACAAAAAACTAGCCGGGCCTGGTGGCGGGCGCCTGTAGTCCCAGCTACTCGGGAGGCTGAGGCAGGAGAATGGCGTGAACCCGGGAGGCGGAGTTCGCAGTGAGCCCAGATCTTACCA